AATAGATCGTGAAAATGATAGAGGAAGAAGCAGCTGGTACAACGCCGGAGGAAAAATTTGCAATTCTGCTTCGTAAGCATGTAGAAAGTGAACGAGCGTCTAGAAAATTGCGACAGGAGGTGAAAGTGCAAGAGAAGCAGTTGGAGACGGTTTTGCGAAAGAAAGAAAATTTGCAACGTGAATACAATAAAAGTGTATTGATGCGGTAAGACAGTTGTAAGAATATCAAATTTATACGTATATTCATTTGTCCGTTCACGGGTCGTGTTAGGGACAAATTGCAGGAAGTTTGCCGCGAACAGCAGAAGCTAATAAAGTCTGTGAAAAATGAGAGCATACAAAAAATTCGAGAAGAGGAGGAAAGGCGCAAGGAAAGCCAATCAAAATTCCAAACATCCTTGAATGAGATCACACAATCGTTAACTAAAAACAATGAAGAAAATTTGAAATTGCGAGACCACAATTTGGAAATGACCAAAAAGTATAAAAGCTAAACAAATTCTAATAACTATTTTAACATATACATTTTATGTAGATTGAAAATGCTGGCAGAACAATATCATATGCGTGAACAACAGTTGGAGAAATTAAACGAACAGGTACAGTTGGAATCACAATTACATCAAGCCAAATTGAATAAGGTGCAAGTTGAAGCGGCTATGGAAAAAGAAATTTTGCTAAAGTGAGTATGCTTATTCGCAAATATTTAAAGTTTGTATATTTACATATCTACAATATTGTGAACGTAGAGAAAAGCAAATTGCGCTGGAAAAGTTTGTGCACTCACAAAAATTGCTGAAAGAATTGACAGAACGCGAGGCGGCACTGAAAGAGCAGCTTACTCTGTACACAGCTAAATATGATGATTTCCAAAGTTCATTACAGAAATCCAATGATATATTTGCAACATACAAAATAGAACTAGAACGGGTAGTTAAAATATTGTATTTTACCAATGTTGTTATTTAATCAAAATTTAACTTTCTCGACAGATGGCAAAGAACACACGCAAGTTAGAAAAGGAAACACTTGAATGGAAAAGTAAATGGGAAAAGAGTAATGCGATACTTATTGAATTGGCTACTGAGAAAAAGGAGCGTGATGAACATGCTGCGCGTTGCAGCAAACAGGTAGACCAGTTACAAAAATTATTGCGCGCATTACAAAACGAGCGTTCACATCTGTATAAAGTGCTGCGTGACAATAACATTGAATGTCCGGCCATGCCGCAACTACCACCCGAACCTGAGCCTATGCAAACACAGGCACCCACACCGTCGAGTGGTGGTGCATCAGACAAAGATAAAATGGAGATAATGTCGCGAAATTGTGCCGAATTAAAACAAACCCTCGCTAATCTACAAAGCCAAATGAAGTTTTTGAATGTCAATTCCGGTATAAACTCAGACGCTAATGCTAAAAGTGCGCAATCGGCTGTTAAACAGCAACAGCCTGAGGACGCAAATAAGAAACGTCAACGCAAAAAACAAAAATCGAAAAGCAATAAGAATGGCAAAGAATCCTCGCCCGCTCCCGAAACGGAGCTACAAAATGATAGCAGCAATTTGCAGTCGGTCGTAGCCGAAACCATTGAAACATCAGCGCCAATATCGACAGAATTAGAGTCTAGTGGTAACGTTGCAGCTGTTGCAATTGCGCCAGAAATACCGGTGTGTCCCGAACTTGCTGCAAAGGCAGCAGAATTGACTGTCGCAGATGTAACCGATGCTGCTGAAGCAACTGTCGCAGAATTGGTGAATGGTACCGAAACTGCGCCGACAACTGAGCCATCGCAGCAGCAAGTGCAACAACAATTATTCGTACCAGTGCCAAATTAGTGCTGCCACTTTCATTACTTTTTATAATGTTCATACATTGCATCATCGCAAGTTGAGCGCATACACCTAACCACCTAAATTACGCTTCACCTTGTTTTGTTCTTTATCAAATTATTATGTTTACGCATTCATGCGTTAAATAACCTTTTTCGATTATTTTATTACTCCGCAAAATTTAAGAAATTTCTAAATAAAGTCCTGGTCTTGATTTCGTAATATCATCTGAAAAAGTACACTTCTTGCCTCTCTATATCTTTTGGTTATACATATGTATATATGTAGCTACATATGTACACTTTTTTTGTTTTATTTTTAATTTTATTTGTATACATACATACATACATATATTAAATTATTTATTTATCTGTTTTTGTATTAACATTATTTTTAAGTTATTCCACACATATTACTTCTTATAAATTGTTCATGTTTCGAAATTATACGCGAGAAATATTGAAATAAAATCATAAAATATGAAAATCGTATTTGCAGTCCTTTTGAAGTGCTTGAAGCCTCAATAGACATTCAGACCTTAAGACGCCACGGCAGTTAATATTTTAGATATTAGTTGATTCCACGTCAGCCCTGATTGGATCTGACAGAAAGTCACTTCTGCCGAAACTAAAGTTGCCACTGTACGACCTCGATGGCTTCTTAATTAGGTGCTGCGTTCGCTATTATGTGACCAAAATATGCGAAATTTAAGGGACCAAGTTATAAATTTTACATGTCTTTCTTATAGAAAAAAGAGACAGTAGACGTGCCCTGAACGTTTAATTTACTCAAAAACGTTGAAAAACGTCTGGTGATTTCATGTGTTTGCTGTAAAAATAAAAACAAACGTAATCATTTTTGTTGTCTGTCCACATTAACTACCATGTTATATACAAAAGATTTGACAATATTTCCGTTCTCTTTTAATTAATAAAAGCATTTAAAAATAAAACTTTCAATTTAGAAAATTCTGTATTCAAAAGTTACAATCAACTAATTACGTGCTTTAATGCCCACTGGCGCGCTGATCTTGGCATACGGTGCGTATTAGTAACATTACGAATCTTACATTCCATTGCATTGCCAATGTTACGCATACGTCACGACATACTAGTGGCATTGCAGCTGAAATTAAGCTATTATGTACCATATATGTATGTATTGTATGTGTGTGTATTGTGCGTGTGTGTAATAATATATACAATTCATTTAATAAACACACAAGCACATTTTTGTGTGAGCCGCATTTTGAAGCAGCAAAATATATTGTTTACATACATCTGCAAGCCTCTGGGCAGTTTTTAAGTGCCACACTTGTCACACACGAAAGAGGGTTGTGAATAGCCACTAAGTTAGCATTGTTTGTTAGCAGTGTAAGTATGTGGGGTAGAGAGGGCACCTATTCCAGTAAGTGCGCGTTTATTATGAAACTATGTAAGTGGGAAAAGGGTTATAATTACATAGGTATAGGTATGAAAGTGTAAGTAATTGAAGAAACTTTATTTATTTTAATTTATTTTTTCTAACGGACAAAAACTGTCGCAGTTGCTTAAAAGTGGTTAGGGCTGCAACATAGATCATAGTAAAATAAAGAATACTTATACATAAAAGTTGCTTATAACTAATAGCTACAATAGTAAGATTTCAAGGACAAGGGCGGAATTTATTTTGCTAGTAGACGATAACAATTGATTTCAAGTGTAAATATTTTTCTAAAATGTTGTTTGTTTTTTACTTAACGTATCCATTTTCAGGGGAATACGAGCTGATTAAAGTTAATAAAGATGTTGCGATGGTGTATACAACTCATTAGACACCGTAGAAGAAAGATTGAATTATTTCGGGAGATATTATATTATATTCTATGCTATACTCCTATGATTTGATGAATAAATAATACTCGTATAATGCTATATAAACTCATTTTTCTCATGATTTGATTGTAGGAATATAAACCCTCGTTTTGCAATTCGACTTATTTGATGGGAAGTCCTCATTCTATGATTCAACGATCTCAATTGATATTTGTAAAGTACCATATTTGAATAGTTGGGCTAGAAGACTATCTTTTCTTCAGAATTTTTCTTTAGTTTAATTTGTTTGCTTTGTTGAACTGAGTCAGGAAAACTCTACAAAGTATACAATGTCTTTTGGCATCTTGTAAACTACAACTGGCTGTTACAACTTCAGTTAAGTGTGTTCGTGTAAAAGCGTAAAGTTAAGAACGAGTACAACAAATATACGGTAAATGTTATCATAAACAAATAAAATACGCCGCTCATAACTGTTAAATCGTAAGAACTTGCTTAAATAGGGGTGGTTAAGCAAACTCACGAACAGAGTTGCTAACCAACAGTTTTTAAAATTCATAATTCCTATTTAAAAATAATAACGCCTAACCATGTAATACACGAAAAACATAAACTTAGAAATTAAACTCATTTTTATATATTTTTTGGTATGAGATATTCTATAGCCAAAAAAAACCGTCAATTGCAGCATATGACCACTGTTTGAATGGGAACGTCGCGTAAAATTTTATTTACATTTATGTTATGGGGTATGTTGATTTTTGATAAGAAAACTATACGACCAAAGATATTAGAAAAAACATGTGGATATGAAAATATTTTAAAATCAGCAATGCGATCATGAAGACTCTGAGTTTTTTTATTATTTAGTTTAGAATATTTATTTGAATTAAAAAACACTCAAGCAGAATGGCAACAATGTTCACAACATACCCACACAAAACCTAACAGCACTACTAACAGAGCCTGCAGGCGTTTAAGTGCGCGGTTACTCAGTTAGATAAATGATAACATTAACAGAGAACAGCTAACTGGCATTAAAAAGCTCTCGAGAGCATTTAAAACACAGAAGTTACGGCACTTCTACGTCAAATGAACAAATAAATATTTGTATACATATGTAAGCCGACAAGTTGACATTCATGGAAATGTCATGTAAACATAAAAGTGTAAAAACGTAGAAGACAATTTGCAAAAACAAAATTGTCTAGTCTTTTCCGTTTCAAAAAAAAAAAATAAATTGAAATCTATTCTAAATGCCCAAACTTTTTTTTGTTATTTTTATAAAATTTTGCGGTAAAATTAGACAGAAATTATAAAAGCAACCCAAAAAGTAGCGTGCACGGACAGTCAGAATTATAAAACAAGCCTTTCTATGTTATCTGAGGGCGTTCGGCATGTCTTGTCGTTTGAACTTCGGCAAGGCGCGGGCTGCTCCCTTAAGGCCGCGAAATGTGTGTGTTGAATTGAAATCGTCGATACAAGTACACGTATTTGCACAGAAAAACTAAGTAGATATGACAGTTAGTGGCGCAACGACGTCAATGTCAGCGTTAACAGGGCTCCAAATCGTTTGCAGCAACAGTCGGCAGCAGTTGATGGCAGTGGTAGCAGAGCGAAAAGCACCAACGAGTCGTTTTTAGTATCAGTTGTATGTTTGGATTGCTTGCGTTTACGTAGGACTGTCTCTCGGCAACTGCGGTTCGGTATCTATTTAATTTATTCACAAGTGTAAATTGCTGAGTCTAGTAAACGGTGTGTGTGAATTTGTGCAAAAAAAAAAATTATTTTTACTTTTTAATTTAACACATTTGAAGAATGCCTTTTAGTAATAAAGTTTGTCTACAATGCCTTGAAATAGCAGCAGCAGCGGCGGTTGAAAAGCAGAGGTTAAAGATAGCAAGCGATTTTCAGCTGTTGTGTATATGCGCTCACAGCCACAGCTGCTCCCTCGCCACTTTGCTGCTGCTGCYGCCGCGGCGGGTGTTTCTGCTTTATCTGTTATCTGTTGGGTTTGCCAATGGTGTGCTTAGGGCCACACATGCCAAGCGGAAGGCCGAAGACGCCACTTTTACTACAACAAGCGCTAGCTTTATCTCTGTTCGGCTCAGCCTCTATTAGCCGGAGCTGCTGTATTGCTGTGCGTATTGGAGTTTTATTTCTCACACGCTTAGTAGCAGCGCCATCAGCGACAGCTTTCTGCAAATATTTGCAATAAAACAAATAAAATTTTATAATTATCAAGGCAGCTGGACACTTGGATGAGTATGTAGATAGGTGTGTAGGAGTTGAAGCCAGGGTAATAAGCGAATCAACGTATAGGGGGGGAGGGTGTTTCCCGAAGATAACCGCAAAGCGGAGTTGAAAGAGCAACGCGATGCTGTGCGCTGTGTATGCGAGCTTACGAATAATGTGGAAATCGTAATGTAAGCAGACGGATCAAATAAGGATACGAAGAAGGAGAGATAATGGCAAATATGAAAAGTTTGCAAACGACTAGTGTGAATTCTGTGCGTACATGTGTGTGCATGTGGTCGTGGCATAGAGAGGATTTTTCTGCGGCGGCTGCTAGTGAAATAAATTTAAGTCAATAAATAAAACCATAATTGAATTTATTAAGAATAAATGTATGCCTGCAAATGCAGAAAAGTGCGAAAATCGTCATTTTTGTAAAGTGCAGGTGCTACATTTATGCCTGCCAGGCAGCGTTGTGGCAATTTTTCGCAGCACACAGACCACATCACGTAAAAGAAGTAGGAAATGAAGAGCGAAAAGAGCAGGAAAAAAGAACAAAAATTGTGTTGGCCATCAACAACAGCCAGTAGGGCTCCACAAGGTGTTAAGCAAAGTTCAAGTGCCAATTACAACAGCAACAAACACATGTTTAATAAATATTAACAATAACAACAGCAACGCAAGCAGCTTATCACACACAACGATGTAAATAAAAAAAGAATAAAAATAAAAAAATAACTTAGTAATGATTAGTCAATATTTTTTAAAAAATATTAAAAAACACATAATTATAATACGGCATGAAATAAATAATATAAATAATAAAAATATTGAACATATTATAAGATATTAATAAATGAATCAGGAAATATTAAAAAGATGACTAAAGTGTTATACGCGAATTAAAAATATAAAAATAAAATTAATGTGTCTAAAAGAAAAAAAAATATATATATAAATAATATAGTGACAGCAAGTAGTGAAAAGAAAAAAACAAAAATATATTAGTAAAAAACAACCAGAAATATATATATATATAAATTATTATAAAATCTGTACAATTTCCATAGCTCACTAGCAAAAYAGTCAGCTAAAAGTTTCTTTTGCTCATCATAATTGCAAGTAAGCGCGAGTTGCAAAAGTTTAAATCATTTGTATTAAAAATCCTACATATGATATATTAAATAAATATAATTAACGCATTTAATGCAAAATATGCACGCACATGTACTTAGTGATGAAAATGCTTTCGAATGTCTAGAATTGCTCGAAACACGCGAATAGCCCGTCAGGTGAAATGAGTACACTAACAACTGTTTACCGACAAGCTGCATAAGCATTCAAGCCATGGGGCGGAGTTTTTACAGGGGAAAAAATTGTAGAAATTGTGTGAAAAATATTTTCGTGGCGGCTCTCCCTAGGTGATAGGCAATGTAGGCGTCTACACACATGCACACATAAATATTGTAAATAAACATATTGCAATGCCGGAAGATTGGTAAGGTTTAAGCATTTAATGAGAAATTTGAGCGAGAAGGTGAGAAAAGAAGGACCGTGCTGGCCTTCATTAATCTGTAATAGTATCACATTTTTATTTGTATATCGATGCAGAGAACATGATCCAACATACTTTAAGAGTAGTTCACACAGAGCAATGCATTTCTCGCGAACTACTCAACCGTTATTATTGAAATTTTGTACAGGACTTCGAAATATAATTTATAAGGTCTAGAACGAAGGAGTTTGGTTTTGTCCATTTCCAACTATTTAAAAAAAGTCATCAGTCATTGTCAGATCCCTAGGTCGCTTCTCACTCTCCTTTTTATCAAGTGTATCTAAATGTTATTCGACAAAGGAAGGTGTTATTTTTAGATTTGTTAAGGTGTACAGGTGTGTATTTAATTATATTCCATGACGCCATTGGTTTTTTGCAAGTCCATGGATTAACATCGAATTCTGCAAAAATTTGCCTGCTCAAAGACTTATGAGACTCCTCTCATAATTGCTCATAACATAACGATTTTCTTTATTCTTTCTTCAAACTCATTCCAATTTTCCATGAACACAGTGAGAGTGCTAAATAGTCTCATTTGTGATCAAGGTACAAATATGACTTCGTCTGTCCGCTTACACGTCGACCATATCCTTGCTGAGAATAAGTTCTTTGCCATTACCTGCAAAAGCCACCTATTTATATGCCATGAGCGATTAAAACGAATTAATATGATCGTGATACAACTTTTAACCGCATTGTTCTTAGATTGCCATTGAACCTGTCATTAGTTGTTCCATTAGTTTTTGCTCACGTTGTCATGAAATCTGAGTAGAATGACATGTGAGTGTGCCAGCTGGATATTTTCTACAAAATTAAATGAGAATAAATATACAAAATAATTATACTTATTTACATGTACGTATAAGTATGAGTTTATTCATAAGAAAATTGTTCTAATTTATTATAAATGTCCTTCACATTTTTATACTCTTGTAACATGTTGCTACAGAGTATGACATTACCTAAAAGTAATAGATATAGACTAATAGATATATATAAATGATCAGGATGAAGCGAGGAGTTGAAAACCGGGTGACTGTTTGTCCGTCCGCAAAACTCCATTCATCGAAAACGTATAAAGCCATAACTAAGCACTAAATTAAGATATAAAACTGTAATTCGGCCCTTGTGGGTTAAAAATTTGGAAAAGTGGGCGACACCCCGTCCTCTATTTGGTGTAATGTACATACCTTCTAAATCACTTAATAACCGAATTCGCTCATCCACAATCCATCCGACCGATTTGGATTAAATTTAGCTCATGGCATTCTTCTCACATTCCTATGTCATAGTACGTAAATAGGCAGAATCGGACTAAAACCACACCTGTTTATTTTCCTGAGCCCCATATATCTAATATAGGGATTTTCGAACTTTCGGGTAACTTTATACCGCATACAGGGTTTGTCCGGAAACTAACAGAACTGAGTTGATTTGAATTAATTTTTTGAAGCAATCGTTACAATTCTTTAAAAACTTTTAAAAGAGGCTCCTTCTGCGTCGATGCCGCGCTGCCAGCGCGAATTCTAAGCATTTAAGGCGTCACGGAAGGCATTCTCCGAAATAATGGTGCATGCTGCTCGCATCCCCTCTGTCGTCTCAAAATGCTTGCCTTTTTTCATCTTCCTTTTTAGGTAAGGAAACAAAAAAAGTCCGGAGGCCACATATGGGCTGTAGGGCGGCTGCGGAAGCGTTGGGATGCCGGCTTTGGGTAGGTAGCTGAAAGGCGATGTGATTCGGGGCAACTTACAATCGGCTGCGATGTCTCGTCGAACCCGATAGACCCTTCGTTTGAGTCTTTTGGGGACTTCCACGTAAAACTTACCGTTGACGATTTGTCTAAGAGGAGCAAATTCAAAAAAGATAATCAGCATCGTTTTCACTTTGGCCTGGTGCCACCGCAATACCCCACATCTTGCTAAAGCAATATCTGGGTAAGCCTGCTTGATCACATCAAACGTCTCTGTCACAGATTTACCGAGTTTCACACAGAATTTAAACGCGTACCTGTGTTCTAACGAACTCTGCATTTTCGGCTTGCATCACATGTTTGTCTTGACTCTTGCGAAACGTTCTTTCAATCAGGTGTATAACTTGTTTGTTGTTTTTAAGCTAAAGAAAGCTAAAGAAAGCTACGAATACTGGGTTACCATCAACCAATAGTCACTCTTAGGGGCCTTTAGCACCGATATTCGTGCCTTCTATTATTTGTGCAATGGTATATTTTACATCAAACAAGAACATGACCTAACGGTTATTTTTAGTTGCGAAATAATTAAAAGCAGAAACAGCTGGAGGTTTGAATGACAGGCTTAACAGCAAAAAATAAGCAAAAGAGATCAAATTAATGTGTACTCAAAGGCAAAGCAGCAATGATGGCAAAAATAAATGAAACAATGTATGCATGCGTGTGTGCTTAAATTTTTGTGACAGATGCATTTGGGAATTTGAGAATTTCTCAGGCCTCACAAATACGGTTCGAATTCTCAATGGTGCAGTATATGCTATATGTACTTAAGTACATATGAATAGAGTGGAATACGAATATTGACTAATTACATTGAAATGCAAATAGCTTGTGACCTAATTTTGTCGCGCTAAGTTTACTACACATTGCCTCTAATGTGACATGAGGAAGCTGAGTAGTTTGGAGTGTGGAAATATGATATCATTGAAAGGATTAATTAGATATTGGAATACTGTTGGGTGGATTTTCGACAGGTGTTTAAAGCGAGTATTACGTTAATTTCATTTTAGCAGATATGCAACGCCTTAAGTCAGTTGGTGGTGATTCAAGTCAACTGAAACCATAATTCTATACCTTTGAGGAGGTCACATTGGTCGAAGAGAAGCGTCAAGGTCCCGCTAAATGCATTAGACTACCATTGGTACGATAGAGTTAGACATTTAGAAATTACTAAATATTAAAAACTTATAACGTTTTAAAAGATTTGGTTATAGCATT